ATATAACTGCTTTTTATTTGTTGCAATAAATAATTAAAAACCAGTTTATTATCAATGTAAGTAAGTAAATAATACAGTTCAACTAGTTGCCATTCTAACAGTTTTGCATCTCGCTATCCTTGATTTTGAACTGTCTTATTGTTGGGTTACTTCAATTTGTTAGCACTCTCTATACTCTTGTGAGGCTTTATTAGTGTCCTATACTGTTTAATTCTCCATTTAAGTTAACTCAAGACGATAAAACATTTTTTGACAATTAATTGAAAGTGTACTACAGTTTAATTTCACTACAACCAGTACCTTGGCGTAACAAATTTGGGGTGATTTCCCAAAATACGGGAATTCCTAACATGGGCTGCAAATTTACGGGAATAAAACTAGGTTTTCCAAATATACGGGAGTCGAAATTCCCTCTTCCAACAACAAGTAAGGTTTTAAAAAAATTAGGGAAAATTATCAAATTAGCCCCCATACAATATAAAAAAATCAATTAAACCCTCATACAAAATGTTCACTCAATCAAAATGTTCACTCAATTAAGTACCCGAACTTCAAAAAACGTTCAAAATGGCCCCTTTGAAGGTTACTCTTGGGTTTCACCGGTTATGTTGCTTACTTGCTTATGTGGATTTCCATGTCATTTTCTCTCTTTTTTTCATTTTTCTATTAATAAAAAATCCTCCTTAGCAAAGTCTTCTCCCTGTTAAGTTGACCAACTTTTCATCCGTCCTGTCTTTCTCCATTGCCAAAGATGAACAGAAGTCCAGGCAATGAAATTCATCCTTCTTCCTCAACTTCTTCCCCTACCACTTGGGATCTAAATAGATCCACCAGATTAACGAAGAGACCACCCTCACCACTCACCGCCACCACAACGCTAAGACCACCTGATACGTCTTCATCACCACTCTGAAAGGCAGCAAAATCGGACTCCATACGGAGCACAACAACGGGCGTTCCACATCGACTTGCGTTGCTGAACCAGAAGCTTCAACGGAGACGACTGGTGTGCGATGGATAATTTAGCATCTCCGGCGATCTAGGTTCTTCTTGGACACTGCACAGTGAAACGCCGGCAGACGAACAATGGGTGGGAGAAAGAAAGAAGGAAGGGGAAAAGAAAGAGTTGGTGGAAGAAGAAACGGGAAGGAGAAAGCAGGTGGAGGAAAAGGAAAAAGAGAAAAAAGAAAAGGGAAATGTAAAAAGGAAAATGAAAAAAGTCACATGTGTCACCGGAGTGTAAACAAATGACCGGTAACCTGATCACTACCGGTTAAAAGGAAGATTTGCCAGTTTCAAATGTGTTTGAGGGTTTAATTGGACGAGTTTTCGGTTGAGGGAGCTAATTGATTTTTTTGAAAAATTAGAGGGCATTTCCCTCTTCCGACTAGAGTTTTTTATTTTAAATAATGTCGAGTTTTTATTCCCTTGTTTTTAATGTTTAGAAAGTAGTTCCCAATTGGAGATATCAAATGACTGTTGCTTGGTTTCGTATTCATTTTTTTATTTTTTATATTATACGAATACATTTTTTTGTGTAATTAAAACCCACTCAAAAAAGAAAATCTCTACAGTCGGAATTGTATATTCCGATCTACATTTCTTGTTACATTTTTGTTATTTATATTCGATATTATCACTACAACCTAATCGGTAATTAGATATTTCAAAGGATTGTTATTTAGTTTTTGATTTATATATTTTATAGTATAAAAATCACATTTTTAATATAGTCTACTTTTATTTATATTTTCAATATGTGCAGGACTCGAAAATTGTATTTCTCGGACTGTTTTAATTATATTTTATTTTATTTTATCAAATAAAATATATGCCATGTTCCACATCACTATGGACCTTTAGAATAAATACTCATTCCCCAACTTTAATTTAGAAGTCCTCAAAATTCATTTCAGGCTGTTATCTGTTAAATTATCAATATCGGTAATTAGGTCTCGTTTGACCAACTGATCAACCCTATGCCTTTTCTATGACCCAACTAGAATATGCACTACCACATACATATTATCTAGACCCAACTCATATGTGATCCACGTGCAATTTATTATTCACGCAAAAGTAATCAAAATTTTACACCTCCTAAATTCATTAACCATTTCTCAAGGTCAATACATAATTTACACAAAAATAAATATATTTGTGGACGGTGTTACCGATCTCGTCCAGTAGGTTCGGTTTTTTAAAAATAGCTTTACAATTGAATTATTGTGTAGCAAGTGTTTTGGAACAATGTATTCTCCACCCACTTAAATTATTGGGTGCCAACTTTTTTAGCTACGTCGTAACTCCCTCTTCCAACTAAACTTTCTTTTTATATACACCTTCCGTCCCGAAATTATCTTCATTCTTTCCTTTTCGGTCCGTCCCAAATTTATCTCTTCTTTCCTTTTTTGATAAAGAATATATGGTTCACAATCATTCTTACACATTTCTCTCTCCTCTGCACAACTCTCCACCACACAAATCCCACTATCTTAATCCCCGTGCCCAGTCAAAATCGAAGTTAATTATGAGACGGAGGGAGTATATTTTTTTAATAAAAATAATACTCCCTCCGGTCCCTATTAAAGTTCCCAGTTTGACTTCACACAGATTAAGAAAATAAATTTGACTTTATTGTGGAATGCAGACACCGTTTTACACTGTGTGGGAACTCCCTCTTCCGACAAGGATTAGAGAGCACACTCCCTTATTTTCATCCTAAAAAAGGCATCTTCGTATTTTGGGAACAAGGACGAAAAAATCCCGTAAATCCGTCTTTCTCTCACAAATTTGGGATGGAGTTGAAATTATATAAAAAGTTGACCAATTTTAAAAACTGTGTCTTGCATCCTAGCAAAAACATTTTTTTGTGTTAAATAATCCTAGATATGCGTGACACCAATGGATATTTTGCTCCAATTAACAACAAGTTTTATATTACGTCCCCATGTAGGTGTTATGAAAAAATATGACACCCCAATCTGTGAGGGCCCCCAATTCCGACCGGTCCATGTAGGTGTTATGTACATTATCTTTTGCTATAATTGAGAAAGTATGACTATAATTGCTTAGAAAGTAGATTGCCAATTAGATATTTCGGGTGAATTAGATTCACTTTTTGGGTGTCCTTCGTTCAATCAATTTAATAATATTGCAGTCATCTTGATTAATGGCAATTAAATTTTTCACATTCGTCTTGTTTTGGGATAGGTCGCTGGTAAATGTTTTAGTAATCCTATGATCGTGACGTTGATTGTAGCAATGTGGGGTGATGCGGCTGCAGCAATATTTGGGTTTCGGACAAGCCCAAGCGGTAGTTGGCAGGAACTATCAACATCAATATGGCGAGTTATATGCGGCTTTTTATTTTGGGTAACGTGGTATGGTATTTTTTTAATCCTGAAAGTAGTTTAATCAATTCATTCTACAGTTCTACTGAAATTTATGAACTTTTGAATGATTTGAATAGATTTACTGATCCTGTTAATTTATGAAAAAAATATATTTAAATTATTTTTATTTGTAAAATAATGAAAAAATCATAAAAAAATAGCTAAAATGATCCTTTACAGTAACATGACTAACATCAACCAATACAAATGTGAACTTAATTGCGAAACATGCCAAAAAGGAAAGTGGTAACTTAATTCAAGGACAGATAAAGTATTACACAATTCAACACGCGAAATCAAAAACTATGCTTTAATGAAAATGTTTGTTGATAAACCTGAAAAACTGATAAACATAATCGCAACCTCTTCTTTAGACAGCTTTTTTTTAGAAAAGCTAAAGCCAACATTTGACTATCAAATACTACCGACTTTGTGTCGAATCAAGTAAAATGTCACAAAAACTAAGGATAGTTTTGATAATTTCTTTTCTTAGTAGTCTCTTGCTTTATGTCAAATCATGTTAAAACTAATGTTAGTTTTAATACTCCGTAAAGAATTTGTGGTTCATAATATTTTTTACACATTTCTCTCTCCTCTGCACAACTTTTCACCACACAATACTCACTATCTTAAATTGTATGTCAAACCTATTTGAAAGTTATAATAGGAACGAAGGTAGTATTACATTTTCATTTGGTCAATTATATTTCACTTTGAGAATTTATTTTTTCTTAATACTTTTTTGTTTTATTTTAAAACTTAATCTAAAGACAACATTAAATAGTACTTATTATTTTTAAACAAAGAAGAGGGCATGAAATATATTATAAATAGTTCTAGCTCTTCCACTAACTAAAGTCATATTGGTCAAATAATGGAGTGAGTTCTTCTAAAACAAAAGAAAATACTCCCTCCATCCCTATAACTTTCTCAAGTTTGATCGACACGAGAATTAATAAAGTAAAAACTGGATGGTTGAGGTTTGTGCAGAGGACAGAGAATTAATTGGAACTATAGATTTTTTTACTTAAAACGGAAAATGACGAAGTTAGTGAGATATCTAAAAAAGAAAAATTGTCAAAGTTTTAAGTGACAGAGAGGGTATTGTATTAATAATGAAACGAAGTACAATAATGTACGTAACCTCTTTCCGTGATACGTAGTTAGTTTCTTCTAATCTTTTAAAAGGGTTTTCTTAAAATAGTATTGTAAGAAGATTTATGAAAAAATGTGACTAAAGTATGTTATTCCTATCTATAACTCATCCGCCTAGACTTGCTTCCAACGTCATCACTTTCACCTCCACTTTCCATTGTCACTTAATAAATCATTGCAACCCTGGCTTGTCCACCGCACACTAGCTTCACTGACAAAAACATCTAGATAGAGGTTACTAAACGAGCTCCTAGTCACCTAGATCAAGGTTACACCGGGCACACGCGTATAAATTAAAAGTAGTATAAACTAATGTTTAAAAGAGTGAATTCCTAAAATAGGAGTAAAAGATGAGGTAAATGCAAAAATAGGATCTATTGTTTTAAATTCCCTAAATAGGACTAAATATTTGTGTTTGGACAAAAATAGCATTAATGAAACTGTCGCTACATCATTCGCACATCACAGCCATCCTCCAAGCCTGCCGCAACCATCAAGTTTGTCGTAACATCATTAGCACATTGCAAACATACTCCGCAACAGAGACCCTCGAGGCCTTCTGTTCGCAACAGAATGTCTTCTGGTCCGTTACAACAATTAATGCCCAACGTTCTTCTCTTTTAATGCTGCGTTAAATGGACAGTTTATGGACGATTCAATGCCCAACGGACTGGTCATTGATGTCCAACGTTCAGATCCATTAACACCCCATTTAACACACAACAAATCCTCCTATAAATAGCTGGCAGGTGATTTGCAACAACACAACGCACAATACATTCCTCACGTATTCTTGAGCCAAAAAAACTCCTACAGCTACTCTCAAAGTTCCTTCTGTGTTCATACTTGGTTCTCGTTCGACACCGCCGCCACCATCCTCCGGTGAAGCCGTCACCCTCCAACAAGTCACTGTAAACCTCCCGCGAGAATGCCATCTTCATAAGAGTAATGACATAAAAATGAAGTTTTCCTATAAATGTATGACATTCTCAAGTGTTAAAATATAAAATTGTAGATGAGAAATAAAAACATTTTCAGATTCATAATAGTGACATTTTCCTAAGAAATTATGTAATTGTCATATTTAAATCTGACATCATTATGAGTTTAGAATTTGAAATATAATAATGCCATAAAGGTGACATTTTTTTAATGATGCGGCATTCAAAAAGTGACATTTTTCATATAATCTAGCATTCTGAGGTTCAAAAATTGGCATTTTTCTAATAATTTGGCATTCTCAAGATTGAAAAGCGACATTTCTCAAAGCAACATAAAAACCAACAATGACACCATTTTAAGATTCAATTCATAAATAAAGTAATTTGAATAATTTAAAATAATATAATCATAATTAATCTAAAATTGAAAATCAAAAGAAGAGAATAAAAACAGAGGAGCTGAACACATCTAGATGAAAAGTGACGAAGAAGAAAATAGAAAAAAACAAAAAAGAAGAGAAGATGAAGAAGAATAAGGAGGGGGAGAGGAGAAGAAGGAGAAGAAGAAGAAGGAAAAGGAAAAGAGGGTGATATGGGCCTGGACCCCAGTACCCACATACTCAGAACAGAAGGTACCACGATCACCTGGTGGGACCTCCATCGGCCGGATGACCTCCATCGCCAGAAAGAAGCCTACTCAGAATACGATCCAGAAGCCAGAAGAACCGGGTGACCTCGTCGGTCGGGTCTTCGTCGGTCATGCCCTCGTCGGCCACGAAAAGCTCCTAGAACAAGATTTCATACTTAGTCAGTTTTGCATATCTTGTATTCGGCCCAGTTGTAGATGGGCCTCCCAAGTCCAAGACTTGGGAGCCCAGCCCACATTTTCTCTATAAATACTCCCTTTGAGAGTAGTTGTGGGGGTTGACAAATCATTAATACAAAGCAATTAGAGCACTTATCTCTCTAGCTATCACTTCTCTCTAGATATATAATCTATCATTTGGTGCTTTCATTGAGAGCTAGAACAATCAAGTTAGCCTCCTTCGTTGCTACCAAGCACAGCTAACTGATAATGGAAAGAACTAAGTCTAACCGCAACCTCCTCGGCAAGGCCATCCGAGAGGCCCAAGAGAACCGAGAACACGAGGAGGACGCGACGGCCAACAAGGCTCCTGCCGAGGATGTCTTCCAGGAAGCCATCGGCCTCACCACTAACCTGCGCAACAAGCTCAACGGCGGCGCCCCAAACGCCCGCATAAGCTTGGACAAAAAGCGCGCAGAAAGGGGCGAAAACGTCTCCGGGCAACCGGCCTCTCCTGCCGTTGACCCCTAGCTCCAGGCCGCACTCTCAGCCATAATTGCTAGCCTGGCCCAAAACCCCACCGTCCTCAATGCATTCATGCCAAGGACTGGGGAGAACACTACACCGCCTCATCTGCCCCAGCCGTTGGCCGTCAAACTAGGCAACGACGAAGGGCTGGTGGCCCAGGACACTTTGTCATCCCACTCCCACCTTGCTTCCCCACTTCGAGCTAGATCGGCCCCAGCGTGTGAAAAAGCCTCAACCTTCAATAGGCTAGGTGACACGCGCCGTCGACCTACTTCGGAGAGGATGGCGGGACGGATTGGTGAACGTGAGCCTGGCTCACCAAGGGAAAGCTTGGGGTCCGTATCCCGGACAGCGGATCGGCCCCGCCTAAACAAGGGTAAGGGTAAGCTGCACGAGGATGACGCACGCCACCAAATCTCCACGGCTCACGCAGCCCACTTGCAGACGCAGGGCGCCACCATGGCGGCCAAAGACCCCAGGAACGATGTGATCGCCCAACTCGAGCGAAGGCTCGCTCAGATGGAGGCCAAACAGCTGCCTCCCCCCCCCCCCTGCAGGCAACTCGTCCAGGGATCCCAACTTCAACGCCCTTCTAAACAAGGTCACCATCCTTGAGAGGGAGTTGGCCGAAGGACGAGGAGACCCCATCATCCAAGTCAGGACGAGGACTCCCTTCACTGCCAGGGTACTCTCGGCCCCCATCCCCGAGAAGTACCAGGGAAATGCCATCAAGCCTTATGACGGCCGCTCCGACCCCCAGGAACACTTCAGCCGCTACCAGAACAATATGCTGATGGTGAACGCGTCAGATGAATACCTCTGCCGTTGGTTCCTTTCTACTCTTGAAGTGCCAGCGTACGAGTGGTTCAACGCGCTCCCCGAAGGGAGCATAGACTCATGGGAAGACCTTGCCTAGCGCTTCCTCACTCACTTTGCCGGAAGAAAGCGCACGAAGAAGTATTTCACCCATCTTCTCTCCGTCAAACAGCAGCATGACGAGTCACTCTGGTCATTCATCGATCGATGGACGAGAGAGACCGATGAGGTCGAGAAGGCCGATGAGCGCACCCTCTTGGTCCTGTTTCAGGGCGCCCTCCGCAGCACCCCATATGCGAGGAGACTCATCACTGACCCGCTGAGGTCCTACATGAAGGCGCTCTAACGAGGGAACTTGTACGCTGACGCCGATGAGCTCCACAACCACAAGAAGGACGGAGGACACCCCTCCAAGAAGATGAACGCAGCGCCATCCCAGGGCGCACCCCCGGACGGGGACCGAGGTCAGGGATGACAAGGCCGCCACAGAGCTGGCGGAAAGAACAAAGACCGCGAATGGCGGCCGAGGATGGAAAGGCCGAAGATCCCACTCACTCATTCGGTCAGCACCATCCTCGATTACGCCGAGGAGCACGATCTCATTGAACGGGATCCTCGGTCAGTCAAGGAGATCTACACCGTCCATCACTGCGGAACCTACTGCCGTTATCAAAGGAACACCTCCCACAACACAGACGACTGCGTCACGCTGAAGTGAGCCATCGAAAAGCTGATTCGCCGGGGGGAACTCTCCCACTTTGTTAAAGGTGGCCCACGCAAGAATACGTGGGTAAACACCGGCAAGCCTAGGGGCGAACCCTCTATGAAGAAACGAGAGATCGGCGGGCTCAGCGATGATGAGGAAGACTTTGAAGAGCCCCACCCGAAGAGGAACCACGTCAACCTCATCGTGGGGGGTAATACCGGGGGGGACTCAGCCACCCAGAGGAAGAAATGGGCCCAATCCCTTTACATTGGGGAAGTGTCCCACGCTCCCCCCAGACGAAGAAGCAACGGACGGAGGCGATCACCTTCACCGACAAGGATCTGCCTCCGGGACCCGCATCACACAGGGACGCCCTCGTCATCCGGTGTGAGATAGGTGACTCTATCATCCACCGCACCTACGTCGATACGGGGAGCTCCGTCAAAGCTGGACACCTTCAGACAACTAAAGTTGGACAAAGCGTTGCTCAAGCCGATACGGACACCGCTGTCCGGCTTCACCGGGGACTCTATCGACGCTGAAGGCACGATAGTCCTCCCCGTGGAGGTCGGCGACGGCTCCCATCGCACCAAGATTGACATGGAGTTCATGGTGGTCAACCTCGAGTGCGCCCACAACCTGATATGGGGGCGGACGGCACTAGAGGATCTGGAGGCCATCATCTCGATGAAACATCTGTGCCTGAAGTTCCCTATCAGCGGCGGTATCGGCTACGCTCGGGGGAACCAGAAGATAGCTCGAGCATGCTACCTAAAGCTCATAAAGCCGGCAGCTAGCGTCGGGCAGAGAATAGACACCATCACCACCACCGTCACCAAGAACGAGGAAAGGCCACACACCGAGCCAGCCGAAGAGGTTGAGGAGGTTCCCCTGGATACCTCTCGGCCGGAGCGTGTCCTAAGAATCGGGAAACAACTCCCACAAGATCAACGTGACGACATCCTCAACGTCCTACGGTCATACGCAATCATTTTCGCGTGGGCCGGACGATATGCCTGGCATCAGCCGAAAGGTGATTACTCACCGGTTGTCAGTCGACCCCGCCTCCACGCCAATCAAGCAGAAGCGGCGCTACCTCTCAGCCGATAGGCGGGACTTCGTCAAGGGGGAGGTTACCATGCTCCTCTCAATCAACCACATCAAAGAGGTGAAGTACCCCACCTGGTTGGCCAACGTCGTCCTTGCCCAGAAGCCGCCGACGTTCAGGATGTGCGTTGATTACACTGACCTGAACAAGGCATGCCCCATGGACCTGTTCCCTCTGCCCAACATTGATCAATTGGTGGACGAGACGGCGGGGTGCGAGTTGATGTCGTTCCTTGATGCCTTCAGGGGGTACCACCAGATATTCATGCATGAAGATGACGCCGAGAAGACGACCTTCATGACCCCGGAGGGAATTTTCTGCTACCTCATCATGGCCTTTGGGCTCAAAAACTCAAGCGCCACATATACCAAGATGGTAGCCAAGGTCTTCAGAGCAGTCCTCGGGCGGACGATGGAGGCATATGTCGACGACATGATCGTCAAGAGCAAGCAATCTACAACTCATGCTGACGACCTTCGGGAGATTTTCGAAATCATGAAGAAGTTCCAGCTCCGCCTGAACCCGAAGAAGTGCACCTTCGGCGTCCAGGGTGGCAAGTTCTTTGGCTACATGGTCAGCCGAAGGGGCATTGAAATCAATCCAGAGAAGATACAGGCCATTGTCAACATGGAGCCGCCACAAAACGTGAAGGAGGTACAACGCCTTACGGGACGCCTTGCGGCCCTGAACCGTTTCCTCTCAAAATCAACTGAAAGGTCTCTCCCTTTCTTTCAGATCATGCGCAAGGCAAATGGCTTCAGATGGACGACGGAGTGCCAACAGGCGTTTGAGGAACTGAAGCGGTACCTATCGTCCCCCCCCTGTGCTCTCTAAACCCAAAGCCGGTGAAACCCTCTTCTTGTACTTGCGGGTGAGCATGTCGGCCATCAGCTCCGTGCTCATCCGCGAGGATGAAGGGGTACAGAAGGCAATTTTCTACGTAAGCAAGATGTTACGGGAGGCCGAGCTCAGGTACTCCCCCATTGAGAAGACGGCACTGGCCATCGTCCACACAATGAAAAAGCTAGGGCATTACTTCCAGACCCATGTTGTACACGTCTTAACTCAGCAACCCCTTGGCGCACTCATGCGAAGCCCCACCAGTTCCTCACGAATGGTGAAATGGGCATTCTTCCTCAACCAGTTCCAGATCGAAATTAAGCCGATGCCATCCATCAAGGGGCATTCCTTGGCCAATTTCGTCACCGAATGCAAAACCAGAGAGACAGCCGCTGTCACACCCGGGCCAGAGCCAGACGAAGCATGGACTCTCTTCACTAACGGTTCATCGGCCGCCAAAGCATGCGGGGCAGCGTCATCCTCATTTCCCCTGAAGGATTCAGAGCCTATTATGCCATCCACTTCAACGTCAGGGTATCTAACAACGAAGTCGAGTATGAGGCCCTCCTCAGCGGACTCAGACTCGCCGTCGGCCTCAAAACGCGACACATCAAAATCAAGTGCGAGTCCAAGCTAGTCATAGGCCCTGTCGAGGGCTCATACGAGGCCAATGAGGGGAGGATGAGACAGTACAAGCAGGCGGCCGAGGAGTTGCTCAAGGCATTTGAAACCCATGAAATCACCCAGATCCCAAGGGCGGAGAATGCTGAGGCCGACGTCTTCTCCAAACTCAGCACAGACACTCCAGAGCAGATCTCCAAGATAGCCAAGGTCGAGGAGCTAAGCATGTCCAGCATCCATGCCAGCCCGGTCATGTGCATTCAACATCAGCCGGACTGGATCACAGATAACACAACCTTCATCACCTCGGGAGAGCTGCCCCAGGACGAGGAGAGAGCCAAGTGATGAAACGGTTAACAACACAAGAGGGGGGGGGGTGAATTGTGTGTGTGTGGAACCGTGGCAGATTTTCGCACAGTTCTAGTGTGGGGTTCAGGGAAATGCGAAATAGTAAAGTGCACAAGGATTTAACGAGGAAAAATCCCTTGGCTCAAAGGGATTAAAAAACCTCGACCTCCCTCGGAGGAATTTGAACAACTCCACTAAAAAGCCTTTGAATGATTACAAGGGAAACTCTCATAGTCTACCCTTGAGCCACCCCAACTCTATCCTCTCTAGGAAGAGTTATGCATCTCTACACTTAGCCGATCCTCACTACCCCAATTAGAATATGAAGAAGGGAAAAAGAAACTCTGTCTAGAACTCCGTGAGCAGGTTTAGGTGCCTTGGACTTGGTAAATATTCTCGTGTATATTTCTCAATAGAAGCTCGGTTAAGCACACACTTCTTCCTCTTGCTTCTCGAATATATATATTCTACTAGAATGCGTCCGTTGACATACATCTTTCATCCCATAGATGGTTGATGAACTTTCCTTGATATTATTCAAAAACCTTTCCTTTTATTCAAAGATCTTCCGGCTCTCCAATATGGTGATCCTCGGTCAACCATATATATATGGAAGCAAGTGGATACATGCATACTATGAGTAAATCACACAATAACAAAAAAGATATGGAGTATATTACGTATTTAAATATTCAATGACAATTCCACATGAATATATATCATCACATGTAAAGGGAAATAATGTATTCTATTAATATAAGCATGCAACGGACATTATGTAGCAATAAAATATTTATGCAATCAATGATTAGTTCTATTAACAAATTTGAATATGCAATGATCATATAAGTAAGATATTCAAATAAGGTGCTACAGATCATGCAAGCCAAAATACTTTCCAAAAATATTCATTTAATATTTTAACTAATAATGACTTTTCAACATTAAGTGATAAGGAAATATTTACTTAGTGGATCCAAATATGCTACGGTCAATTGTTGCAGGATATTTATGTAGCATAAGCAATGATTCTTTCCATAAGCTATAAAGCTATATAGGCCAACTCATTAAAGTGAGTGTTTAGTCATGCATGGAAAGATATTTAAATTGTGCCACATACATTAAGAATATGCATGATCAATCTAGGCACGTAGATAAGGTATTATCATACAGGCACATATCAATTAATTTATTCATTATGCACGACAATCCGTCACATAGAACAGAACTAAGTATAGTTCTAATTTCCGTTCCTGATAGAACTGAGAGCAGTTCTGTCCGCCGTTCCACCTGCATGGTTAGTCATCAACAAAACAACATACTCAACACCAAGCTAGCCAAACTCAGGACCCCAAGCTACACCATCGAGGATGGGAAACTCTACAAAAGATCGTACAACGGCACTCTCCTCCGATGCCTACACCCAGACGAGGCCGAAGTGGTCATGGAGGAAGTCCACTACGGCGTCTGCTCCTCACATCAGGGCCCTTTCAGCATGTCCCGACGTCTCGTCGTCCAGGGCTATTTCTGACCGACGATGGTGCAAGATTGTGCCAATCTTGCGAGGAAATGTACTGCATGCCAGGACCTTCAGAGAGCCCCTTGTCGGCCAGCCGTCAATATGCCCCGGTCAGCACCGCGATTCCATTCTCAAGATGGGGGATCGACCTGGTCGGCCCCTTGCCCAGGGCCGCTGGCAACAACCACTACATCATCGTCGCCGTGGACTATTTCACCAAGTGGGTCAAAGCAGAACCTTTGGCCAGCATTACAGGGGTCAAATGCCAGAGGTTCGTCCACAAGAATATCCTTACCCGCTTCGGCGTCCCCCTGAAGATAATATCCGACAACAGCACCCAGTTCGAGGCCGCACCCTTCCAAGAGCTCCTCAAGGAGTGGGGGATCAAGCATCGTTTCTCCTCCGTTGCTTATCCTCAAGGTAACGAGCAGGTCGAGAACGCCAACAGAACCATTCTGGAGGGCCTGAAGAAGAAGGTCCAGGACGCAGGAGGTAGCTGGGCCGATGAACTCCCCAACATCTTGTGGTGCTACCGTACAACGCCGAGGAGGGCGACGGGCGAAACCCCCTTTGCCCTTTGTTATGGCTTCACGACAAAGGCATCAACAGAAGTCACTATACCCAGCTGACAGATGATGTAGTACGAGCCCGAGGCCAACGAAGAAAGCATGAAGATTGATCTCCACCTAATCGAAGAAAGACGGGAGCAAGCCTTCATCCGGGCAGAAAACTACCGGCATCAAGTGAAATCATACTATGACGCCAAGGTACGTGCCCGGGAATTCCAAGTGGGGGACTACGTCCTCCGCCGAAGGGAGGCGAGCAAGCCGACAGAAGGCGGCAAACAGACACTCAAGTACGAAGGCCCATATATCATCAACGCCGTGGTCAAGCTTGACACCTACAAACTAAGACACCCGAATGGGTCTAATGTACCACGAACGTCACCCTCGGCCTCGAGCCACTTATCAATAAAAGCTGTATTCTACTTACTTTTTCCTAAAAGTTCAAGGAAAAGATATTATATTACATCGACCCCTCAGAGCAAAAATGCTCAGGAAAGGTCGACAGAGCACATCGTTTCAGCCCCTTAGAGCGAGACGCTCAGGTATGGCCGACGGTGTCCTTAGGACGAAGGGCCCGCAAAGAGTCCACGTCTTGAAATGGGAAGCTCACCGTGTCGTCCACTCGCGAAATCGCAGGACGACAGGTCTGAAATCATGGTCGAGGTGACAAAAATCCCCCAACTCAGGGATGAGAGACGGCAGCTGTCGGTAACCGACTAAAAGCCTTAGCCCGCGTCATAAATAGGTGACGAGACTTCCCTGAGACCACAGGACGATCCAGTAGGACTCCTTACCGGCCGAAGGACTATCAACCCCCCCGGCCAAAGCCTGAAAGAAGGATACTCACTCCTCGCTCAAAGAAATAAAGAGGAAGATTATAAAAGAGGGACAGCCGATGAGCCGCTCACTCGCCGGCCTGAAGCGATATCCCCAAAACATAAAAGAGAGTCAGCCGAAGGACCGCGCACTTGCTGGCCTGAAGCGATATCCCCAAAACATAAAAGAGGGACAGCCGAAGGACCGTACATTCGCCGACCTGAAGCGATATGCCCAAAACATAAAAGAGGGATAGCCGAAGGACCGCGCACTTGCTAGCCTAAAGCGATATCCCCAAAACATAAGAGGGAAGCCGATGAGTCGTGCACTCGCCGGCCTCGAGCAATAAAAATAAAATCCCCAAAATTGACTAAGTACATATCACTCAAATATTACACATTATGGACAAAAGCTTTCAAAAAGAAAAAAGGAAAACTTGGACAAGATTACCAAGGTAAGCTCCTGTGGCCGACAAGGGCACCAAGTAGCCAGCATCAGACATCCCACTCATGAAGGAAGCTACCACCTAAGTCTGTCTAGCACGTAGAAAAATTTCCATGTATTTGGAAAAATTCCTAAGGGGCACCCTGGATGGCCGACAAGGGCCCTGAGGCCGAACAAATGGCCAACAACTCTCATCGTCCATGTCAGAATGGAGCGGACATATACTCTAATCTAAACACTTAGAAATATTTTCACAAAAATGTGGGACACCAAACATTACAAGGACGAAGAAGACATTCCCCCCCCCCCCAGCCGAGCAAAGGGCAGGACCCTTCATCGGCCACGATTACAAGAAGCAAGTTCGTGAGTTCTTGTTTGGCACTTAGAAAAGCACAAGCAAAATAAAAAGGGGCGGGGGATGACACAGGACGAAGAGTGCACAAAGGCCGGAAAGGTATACATGCCGATGAAAACACCTAGGCATAGGAAGCTATCCATACTGGTCATATCGGCCGACGAGGTCACCCCGAACAAAAGAAACTACTTAGCTTGACATTTAGAAGAAATTCTAAAGTGTGAACAATAAAAGGAAAGGGATAACACCAAGACAAAGCGGACACCCAATCACTTAAGCTTGACACTTAGAAGAAATTCTAAATTGCTATTCAAAGCAAGGGGTGTTCAGAATGGCCGAAGCATGCTCGCCTAAGTTACCTGCTCCAGCCACAACCAGAGGAAACAACCAAAGAGAAAACGGCTATCCAAGTCCCAACTTAAACACTTACAAAAATTTTGAAGAATAACAAAACCAAGAGGAAAGGCAAGACGAGGAGGACACAATAAACACTAAAGCCGAAGGAGACAAGCATATTTTCATTCACAAGTACAAGGTACAAAGGGGGGGCTTCATGGCCGTTACATTTCAACTAATTAAATAAACAGGGCAGTGACGGATCATGACTCCGGTGGGGCCTCCAAGTTTTCTTCAGCGTCGGCCTTTTCCTCAGCTTGAGTAGTGACCCCATCAGCAGCAGCACCGGACGTAGCAGTGTCCTCAAAAATGCTCGGCTCATAAGCCCAATCATCACTGACTTGGGAGCTATCGATGGGGAGTTGCCTTTCCGCAGCAAGGAGCTCTAGTTCGGCCTTAGGATGCTTCATCATCGGAGGCAGGTCCAGGCCGACGGCCCACTCCTTGGTAACACCCAGGTCTAGGAACCGATGTTGAAGCCTCCGGTAAAGTAACCGTTGCATCCTGTACTGGCCGAGGTCGTAGAAGACCTTCATCTCCCTCTCCCAGTATGCCTGGCCGTCGGGGCAATTGTTGACCCAGTCGAGGAGCTTCGCCGCCACGACGTCAAAACATCAAGGAAGCTGATCCCCGCCCTTCCAGCCGACCTCAAGGAACTTCTGCACGGCGGCCTCAGCGGCCTTTTCCTTAGCAGCACTCATGGCCGACTCCGCCTCCGCCTTACCCTTCTCGGGCTCCTCGGTGCGACGAAGGGCTTCATCACGAGCTCGCTCCGCATCGGCCAACCGTTGAAGGGCCCCGTCCTTCTCAACAGCGACAAATCAGCCTCATCCGCCTTTTTCTTTAGGCCCTCCACCTCGAGATGCAGCCTCTCCAAGCTGCCCAGAGCCTCATCAAACGAAGCCACCTTCTCCTCGATCTGCTTCAGCCGAGCGATCTACCTTTGTTGCCTTTTGTTGCTCTCCATCAGCATAAAGGCACCCTGCAGAAACACAATGGTTAGACGACGCCGACACATGCAATGAACAAAGAAAAAAGGGGAGAAGACAAAGCAGGCAAAGGACACTTACTTGGACGATGTGGTCCATCCCACCGTCGTAGATCTTGACATTACCGAGCTTTTTCAGATAAGCCTGGTCCTCATCGGGAATGGCCTGAGACATCACCTCATGGACATCAACAATATCATTGAACAAACCGCCCTTAACGGGGTATTCAACCTCAAGCTTGTAGGTCCCCTTGACCAACTCTCGGCTAGACCCCTTCTTCGGGGGGCTGCGGTAGCAAGGGGAAGGTTGGAGACAGCGGTGGATGAAGGACCCGAAGTAAGATCCACCAACGCATCAGCGTTAGAGCCGCCTTCGCCCCCAGAAGGAACGGTCAACACCCCGGCATCATCACCAGAAGAAGCCCTCTTCGGCTTCTTGGTAGGCTTCAGGCCCGCCTCCGTGAGCTTCTTCTGGCCCTCTTCGGCCAGCCGTTTCTTCTTAGGCTGAATGGGAGGCTTCGTCGCAGGGGCGGTAGCAGGTTGACCCGCATCAGCTGTCGACTTAACGGCCTGCTGAGCTTTCAGTTCTTTAGACGCCTTTAGTTGCGCCCCCTTCATAAAGGACATGCGATCCATACTGAAACCTGCACAAGAAAAACCCAAGGGTCAGCGGATGAGGGGATAAACCAATGGTGAGCAGAAGGGCGTCAGAAGGACATTACCATCGGCCTCAGCTGGCACCCCCAGATCAGGGCCATCGGCCTCCTCATAGGTCGTGGTCATCTTCGGCCACAGTGCTACATCCTCCTCCTTGTCACCATATACAAAATACCTCACGAAGCCGAGGGCGGCCATCTTGTACTCCATGATGTACTCTTTCACACTCCTCGGCCCCCCTTTTAAGAACGCCGCCACCTGCGAGTCCAAGATTGAACTCTTCGGTGGATCATGAAGGTTGAACCTCCCACTATGGCCGACAAAGGGGAATTCGGTGCCTCCCTCACCTAGCGACACAAAAACAAATTTACTCTTCCAGCCATGGATGGACGAAGGAAGATCAGTGAAGGACCTCTTTCTATTTTTTTTTGGATGAAATGTAAATTTATATTAACACCCAAAGAAAACTATACAACATGGGTTCTAGATCTCCTAAACCCCCCCACCCCTACCTAGTGTAGGGGTAAGAAGAGGTTTTTATTCGATCTAGCACAAAATCAAAAACAAAATCAAAAGGGGCCTAAGTATAATATACCAAATGCCCCTAATTACAAAATCAATTCAGTGGTGCAAGGTAGCACGCATATAGTTAAGCAAAAAACAGGCAACCGGGACATAAGCTAATCCCATTGCCAAGCAAAAAATCAGTGGTGTTGCAAGGAGCAAACACACTAGTCCATGAGTGGATGTCGCGGCCATCACCCAAGTCTTCTCTTCAAAATCTGATCATATCATGTGGGTATATAGAAAATAATATCTTATATACCACATGTTTAATCTTCGCAATAACTTCATCCTCCATCTTCATAGTTCCATCAAAGCGAGAGGCATTTCTAGCATGCCATATATAGTATGCAGCGGCACAGAATGCGATCCGGACAGCCTTTGCCTTCAAAGTGGAGCCTTTGTGCTTCTTCAAAATCCATTTGACCGAGCTATGCAGCGTAGTCATTTGGTTTTCCATGCCCATCCATTCCCTAATCTTCCCCCAAATCCTGCAAGTAAAAGGGCAACGAAAAAAGAGGTGTGGCATTGTTTCCAAGTCACCCTTGCACAAGTCACATCTATTAACGATATGCAAAAATCCGAGGCTATCTTGTGTTGGTAGCCTATTTCTAAAAGCAAGCCAAATCATAAAAGAGAACTTTGGAGGGATTAAGAATTTCCAAATGAAACTCATCCATACCCTAGCCGTTCCCTTAGTTCTCAAAAGTTCATATATTTTACTTGAAATCAATTTGCCATTAATAGATCTAGAGGCTAACCCCATTATTGTGTCATTATGGTTGTTGAAACAGCCCCTAATCTTATCTCGTATTAATGCCAAGTTTTTCATAAAACTCGAATCACGGCTGTGTGGGGAAAAGTCCCACACACTCTTACCATTAAGGTACACACCATTCACCCATTTTACCCAAAGGGTGTCCTTCTTTAGATGCACATCCCAAAGTGTACGTGATAGGAGGGCTTGATTCCAAACCTTAGCATTTCGAATACCCTACCCCCCCTCATCCTTTGGGAGACAAATATCATCCCATGCCACTTTGGCATATTTTCCTCCCCAAAGGAAAATCCTACAGATGGAGACAATTCTATCAAGGATAGTCCGTGGCACTGGAAAGACTTGTAGCCAACAAGATTGGACCCCTTGGATCACAGATCTTATTAGCTCAACCTTTCCAGCATAAGAAATGGATTTTGTATTCCAAGCATTCAAAAAGTCCAAAATAGTGTATAGCAAAGGGGCATATTGTTCCACCGAGACTTTAAGAGGGGCAAGAGGGATCCCTAAGTACTTGACCGGGAATTCACCTTGCCCAAAGTCAACAATACTCAAAATATTTTGCAAATCAAATTCATTAACTCCCCCAACAAACATGTTTGACTTGTTACAATTCACTCTTAAGCCCGATACATCCCCAAATTCTTGTAGGGCATTAACAAGCACTTCAATGGAAGCCTTGTCCCCCCTAGAGAATAACATTAGATCATCCGCATAGGCCAAATGTGAAATGTTAAGTGATGCACATTTAGGGTGGAAGTTAAACTTTGAAATCTTGGTTTTCATGTTTAGAAGACGAGAAAAGTATTCAAGGCAAATTACAAATAGGAGAGGAGACATAGGATCTCCTTGCCTTATGCCCCTTTTACCTTCAAAAAATCCATACAATGCACCATTCAAAGAAACTGAAAATGAGGCAGATGATACACATTCCATAATCCAATTTACAAATCTCAAAGGGAAGCCCAAGCCCTTGAGAACTGATTCAAGAAAACTCCAAGAAATAGTATCATAGGCCTTACGTAAATCTACCTTAATCATACATCTTGGTGAGATTCGCTTCCTCGTGTATCCTCTAACAAGTTCCTGGGCTAGGAAAATGTTATCAATCATGAGGCGGCCATCCACAAAAGCACCTTGGGCATGATCAATTAATCCCGGAAGACACGGAATTAATCTAGCCACAAGTACTTTAGTGATGATTTTATAAAGGACATTCGTGCATGAAATGGGTCTATAGTCCGAAACCTTAGGGGAGTGATTTGTCTTTGGGATAAGTGCTATCACAGTATGGTTAATCTGTTTTAGCAACTTTCCCGAACGAAAAAACTCCTTAACGGCCAGGACTATGTCATTCCCAACAGTACCCCAATTTGCTTTAAAGAAGGCAGAAGAAAACCCATCCGGTCCCGGAGCCTTATAATTGCCAATGTCAAATAAGGCATTCTTGATGTCCAAAGTTGTGACCGGGGCAATGAGGCTCATGTGGGCACTAGGTTGAACAAGTGGACCCGAAGGTAAAACCAAGGGGTCCAATGCATTACAATCATTAGGCGTACCAAATAAGTCAACAAAGAAGCTTACACATTCATTACCAACTTGGTCCAACGAGGTAGTAAGTGTTCCATCCTCCAAGGTAAGCGATGAAATTGTATTCCTTGCTAAATTCCTCTTCACAATTGCATGGAAGTACTTGGTGCATTTGTCCGCCTCTAGGATATGTGTAGCCTTAGCCCTTTGTTGGAAAAAGGAGGCTTCGGCTTCACCTAAGAATATAGCATGCTTTGATGCCGCGGCCAATTGTGCCTTAAGTTCCAAGTCATCCGGGCATTGGAGGACCAACTTATGAAGTCTTTTGAAATCATCCTTCGCTAATTTGGCCTTATTTGAAATGTGTCCAAACTCCGCGGCATTAAGATTCTTAAGGGGTCTTTTAAGTCCCTTTAGTCTCTTTACCAACTTGAATTGGGCCGTTCCCACAAAATTCTTATTCCAATGCAATGCTAGAATGTTGGCAAATTCAGGGTGCTTTAGCCACATATTAAAGAATTTAAAAGGTTTGGGTCTAGAAGAGGAGTTTAGGAGTATAGACACAACGGAAGCCGTATGGTCAAACTCTACCTCCATTTCATGGAAATGGACCCTAAAACCTATGCTATTTAGCCCCCAACTCTCATTGATCAAAACTCGATCCAGTTTGGCCCAAAGGGCACCTTTGTTCCATGTGAAGAACTCTCCTGTGGAGGGTGCATCCTCAAGGCCATTAGCAGCTTTAAATTCAAATAGGTGTTGCATAACATACGCCGTAGGGGGGGTAGGACCCACCCTTTCATTAGGCGCAAATATGCAATTGAAATCACCACACACCATCCATGGTTCAATCAAGTGTTCACCTACCAAAGTCAAATAGTCCCAAAGAGACTTGCTCTCTAGGACAGTGTATAACGGATACACAAAATTAGCAAAGAAAGGAGTTTGAGTAATCCTACAAACACACTTTGCATGCATAAATTGCTTCTCTTTTTCCAAAAAATCACACCTTATTAGATTAGGGTTCCACATAACCACAATGCGTCCGCCACTTATTAGGTCAAAATTATTCTCAAAACTCCAACCCGGCCATTTATTTAAAACATAGTTATTAATAGCGGCCAAGGTCATTTTAGTTTCTAGAAAGCATACTAAGCAAATATTGTTTGACTTAATATAAGAGGCAATAATATTGTGTTTAGAGGTTTTATTTAAACCTCTAACATTCCATACCATAAGCCACGATATTAAGTGAGGTATAGGTCCGAAGTGGGTCCTCCACCCTCGGTTGTTCCCTTCTTTTCTTCCCTTCGTTTCCTCCTCATCATCTCCTTGAAGTATGCCTTGTTCTCCTTGCTGTTTTCATCAAAGAAAGCTACAATGTTAGGAATATATAGGAGAGGATCGAATTCATACCAAGAGGCCTTTCGCTTGACACCAGGGAGCGTGAGTAGACATTGATGGGTGAAGCTCATTCCCGGGCTCTTGTCTCCATCTGCTCTCTTGAAGTCCGGCCCAACCCTTTCTTCAAAATGAATAAGTGGAAGGTCCGCCCTCTTCATAACAAAGATGCTTCTCTTGCCCTTGTCATCAAATTCCATTTTGGTGACCACATCTTGCATGTCCATCTCGTATACACTTCTCACCCTCTTGCCTCCAATATCCTTATCCGGGGATTGAATGCCATCAACAAATTCCTTTGTTAAATGGTTCATTTTTAGAACGAACGGATATGTAGGCTCCTTGGGCTTAGGCACAGCCATTGACTTTTCCACCGGTTTAGGCTTTGTAGCATTAGCCTTAGATGTTGAAGCAACATTCATAGCCCCTTGTGGTTTTGCCTTCGCCTTCCCCTTTCTCCGGATCACTTCTTGAAAAGGAGGTTCTTCCACAGCAACCCCCTTTCCTTTGTCTAAGACCATGGCCTTCTTCCCTTTGTTCAATGTCGCGGCATCAGCCCCTTTATTGTTGACCGTGGCAGCCTTGTTGATCACCAAGTGGGGGTGAAGAACTTTACACTCAAAGGGGTTCTGCCCAAAAGCTTTGCAATGGTAGCAATATTCTGGGTAAGTTTCGTACACAACCCTTTGGGTATACTCCTTACCCGAGGGTGGCACAGTAGGGAAGTCCAATACCGGGGGTTTTGAAGCATCAACTTCAATTAGAACCCTAGCATACTTTGTAAACGTCTTATCTTGAGTTACCTTATCAGTAGTAATAGGCACCCCAATTTGAGAAGCTATCTTTCCAATCTCCGTAGCTCTCCCTAACCTCAAGTGAAGATTTGGGAACTTGACTTCACGTTGTAACCCCCTTTCCTTTGTCTAAGACCATGGCCTTCTTCCCTTTGTTCAATGCCGCGGCATCAGCCCCTTTATTGTTGACCGTGGCAGCCTTGTTGATCACCAAGTGGGGGTGAAGAACTTTACACTCAAAGGGGTTGTGCCCAAAAGCTTTGCAATGGTAGCAATATTCTGGGTAAGTTTCGTACACAACCCTTTGGGTATACTCCTTACCCGAGGGTGGCACAGTAGGGAAGTCCAATACCGGGGGTTTTGAAGCATCAACTTCAATTAGAACCCTAGCATACTTTGTAAACGTCTTATCTTGAGTTATCTTATCAGTAGTAATAGGCACCCCAATTTGAGAAGCTATCTTTCCCCTCCGTAGCTCTCCCTAACCTCAAGTGAAGATTTGGGAACTTGACCCACGTTGGAACCTTCAAAAACTCTTCACTTTCAAAGCTAAAGTCATCAGAAAGGGCTTTAAGGAACATGGTCTTCCCATATAGGACATAGGGGCCCTCAGTAAGCACCTTGAGCCGGTCCTCATCCGTTTTGAATTTGAATACAACCCACCCTTTGCTATGAGCTTTGACGTCCACTCTCACCCCCCCACTTTTTAGTCATGTCCAAGATAGCCTTCATGCCCGGGAAGCGTCCAGAGAAGTGGCCAACTAGATAGTACCCCCAAATTTCAATAAGGGTGGGTACCTCCAAGTGCGAGAAATCCAACTTTTCCCCAGAAGGAGGAAAATACTCAAGTTTAAGGCCATTAGAAGGAGCCCGGTTATCCCGGAATAGAGAGACAGCTAGAAATGGCTCCGGCTCAAACTCATCATCATCCTTCAACGTATCAGTGTCTTGTGACCCAAGTGAGATGGACCCCTCGGGCTCATCAATGGAATGTGGGCTATTCTCATCTGATGTCTCAATGATAGGAGCATCTATATCAACAATAGGTTTGAGCGCAAGAGAAAGCTCATTGGAGGCAACAACATTTGAGGAGTTGGAATCCAACCCCAGCAGCTTCTCCGCGAAGGAACCCAGTGAAGCCTCGGTCCTAGTAGAAGCCGCGACATTGCCCTCTTGTCCCCCTGTGTCCACGGCTGCCGCAGCATTACCTCCTTGTGCCCCTTTGTCCACGGATGCCGCCGCCTTGCTACCATATGCCCCCATGCCCACGGATGCCGCGGCATGAGTTGAGCCACTTGCCGCAGCAAAAGCTCCAGCTGAATTTGAGAAGACCGGGCTTGATGAAGGGGTAACCTCCTTCATAGTAGCCTTCTTCTTCAGTTTGTCCACTTCCATAGCTGCTTGCTTAGCCAAGAGAGACTTCACCTTCTCATCAAACTGTTTATCTTTAAGAGGAGGGGTTCACTGCTGCTTGTTCTTCCTGGTCATGGCACAGGCTCAACGAGGAAGACGATGAACAGTACCCTTCACAACTCAAAGTGCTCAGAAAATTCTGGAAAAAATATATGTTGGTCTCCAAGCAAAGGCGACCCCCAATGTATATTTCGTTTTGCCCCAGGACCTACAAAAAAGAAGAAAAAGTTAGCAAACTAATACATACCTGCGCATAGGATGCACAGTGGCGTGAATAGTGCTTTGCTTTTTCAAATCTTCGTTGTAGGAGCTGAAACCGGTGTCAAAATGATCGCCTGGACCAGACGAACCCCAGACTATGCTCAGAATTTAAATTGAACGTCGGAGTTGGCCGGAATCTACCATCAAAGCTCCGCCGTGAATAGTTGACCACTGCAACGGCTAGTTGCTAACTCCGGTACGGCGGACGTCCAATTGGCCGGAAATTTGATGGGGAGGTGCGCCAAGGGATGGCGACCCCCAAACAAAACTCTCTTGCAGCAAACAATCCACCAAATGATTTTAAAAAATCAAAATGCGCGGTTGCAGGTACAGTACAATCTGCGAACTGTCAACTTCAAAAACAACGTTCTTGAGCTTAAAAATTTAGAATCCTTTGAATCCAATCGATAGAAAAGATTGCTGAGTTGATTCCGAGCAAGAAGAACGTATTTTATTGAAGATTAAACGTGAAAAAATCTTTGTGAGGAGAGCTTAGTTCGTTCGCAGGTCTAGGAAATTTTTGACCGTTGGGCGAGAAAAATCCTAGAGATAAGGAGGAGCGTTCTCAACGCGAACACTACTGAGACTACTGAGAGCTCTTTCGAGACTGAGAGCTCTTTAAAGGACCTCTTTCTATGGATCTATTGAAGGGTGGCATAGCAAGAACAGTTCTTGTGGCTTCCTTGGCCTATTTGGTACAGGTTCATAAACAGCGTTGTCGTCGGCCTAAAGTCCAACTCAGCACAACAGAGAAGGAAGTCGACGATCAAGGAATAGCTATTCGGCATCAGCAGTGCTAGAGGAAGACCCACCATATCCAAATACTCAGTAATAAAAGGATGAAGCGGGAACCGCAAACCTTTTGCAAAGCTCATCGGGTAGACTCCAAAATACCCCGCCGGAGGGTTGAGTACATTGTCCGTCGGCCTGGGCGCCCTAACCCTCCCAAATGACCCCACATACATCTGGGCGACCAAGTACTCACCTGTGTTACTTTACGGCCTAATGATATAGATATTGGTGAGGTCCAAATAGGAGAAGACTAGGCCATTCTTCGGCCGACGAGTCCTCCTAACCGGCGCCTTCCCTTTCACAACTGACACCGGCTTCGGGCCTGGAATGGTGGCCGAGATAGACGCCCCGTCCACAGCACGGGAGATCCCGACGTCCTTGCCTTCAGATGACGATGCGGCCTCCTCGTCCTGGCCCTCCTCGTCCTCCTTTTCCCCAGATTTGAAGGAACTCAGATCTTCGATCTCCTCGCAGAACTCTTCGACCAACCCATAATCGAGGGACTTTGCGGAGACCTCGTCGTCATAAGTGTAGTACTCTTCGTCCAAAGGCTTCATTGCAACAACTACTAAGCCCTACGAGGTTCTATTTTGGATCTAAGTAGGGTTCACTGACTAACACTAGATCGAAGGCCAAGGAAGCAAAATATGTAAAAAATGAAGGAAAGAGTGATGAACTGGCCTTTGAATGTTTAAAGTTTTGAAGAACACTCGAACAGCCTTTATCTCTCTAGAATTGGGCAACATTTTGTTATCTCAAGAATGCAATGGGGAGCTTCTTCGAAGGGAGGGGGTATTTATAGACCTCCCCCCAACGGTCATTACACGTGGCACACCATCAGTGGCCACCCAAGCGGTCACCACTAAAAGGCCCAATAAGGTGTCACCGCTTCGTAAACGGGCCAGGCCCACTTCGGGGACAGTTAGCCCACATCAAAGGAAGCACTAACGGCTCAAACCACGGACTAATGACATTTACAAACGGCAAAGGCACTCGACGGCCTCACCAGAGAAAATCAATCTTACTTCAACGACTGCCTGACATCTAACACGTACATCAGCCACAACGGCCAACATTAATTTCAAAATGCCAGGTCACCACAAAGTGTACCCATATCGGCCAAAAACAGAATACCAATATCATGGCCTCTCCAACGGCCATAAAAGCAAAGCAAAAAGCAACCCCGCAGCCACCGGCCTTGTATAAAACCCTGATGATAATTTCTTGAAAGCGACCTGCGTCCAAGGGTTCTCCCACAGGGTTACCTTGGTCAGGAAATGGCCAAGGAATTGGAATCAGGGGAATACAAGGATCCCGCTTCGGCCTAGGGTTATCCTTTACTCCTTCACCCATCGCTCACTTTTCGGCCTGAAGCAGTGGGGGACTGGGGGACTACACCGGCCTCTGGGATACAAGAGGACAAAATCAAAGAAACCCAAACAATACTAAGTCCACAACTACAAACATCAGAACATATATGCACCACAACGTCCATGACCTTGTGGAGCACCTTCGGCCGCAGCAAAGTCAACAGACAGAATTCTCTCCACTATCGACCTGAGATCACAGGCCATTCAACGGCCTCCGGGTCACATACTCCACTATCGGCCAAGAAGTTAAAGACATGAGCTCAATGTCCTCAGGTCACCATCATCCATGAGACCAGGATACGCACTACCACAGATCGGTGCCGCCATCGTCTTCAAAGCATGGACACCAAGCTACGGACACCACCGCTTCGGCCTTAAGCACAAAACAGACGTGATGCCTCCTCGGCCAGTCCATCAAAGGCAACCATCGATCACCAAAAAACAACAACACCCGCATCAGCTATTCAAATCGAAAGGCCACACAATGGCCACACAGCAATACAGGACACTCTTCGTCCACAATGAAGGCCACACAACGAATACAATCCATAAGTCAGAAGAACCGGGTGACCTCGTCGGCCATGCCCTCGTCGGCCACGAAAAGCTCCCAGAACAGGATTTCATACTTAATCAGTTTTGCATATCTTGTATTCGGTCCAGTAGCGGTCCAGTTGTAGATGGGCCTCCCAAGTCCAAGACTTAGGAGCCCATCCCACATTTTCTCTATAAATACTCCCTTTGAGAGTAGTTGTGGGGGTTGTCAAATCATTAATACAAAGCAATTATAGCACTTCTCTCTCTAGCTCTCACTTCTCTCTAGATATATAATCTATGAGAGGGTTAACTGACTTCATCGGAGGAATTGCAGATGTGAAGTGTGATGTTGCCGGAGAAATTGAGGGGCTACGATCGCCGGAAATCACACGTACTGGAGGTGCCATGATACGACCATATGAAGCCCACCGCACCGGCCACGGCGGGAACGCCAGAAAGTAGGATGGATGACCGACCAGTACATCTATGATTGAGCATAAATTTAGGAGACCAATAAGGAATGGAATCAAGTGAACGTTGGAAAGATCATATTCCTTAAGTTATATGCATAATCATAGGAATAATTATGTCAAATAAGGGTATAAAAGGAGGTATTGTATTAGAACGAAGCAAGCCTAAGAATAAACAACTTATTCCTTCATTTCTTGATCCTTGTCTCTTCCTGCCCTGGGAGTTGTGGACACTCGAAGTTCCACGTTCTATCAACTGATGCTTTCATCGATTTCGGCTTTCTCTATATTCCAGCATGACACACGCGGAAGACAACCCTCAATCCAGTACCATTGAGCCGCAGCCATGGGAAGACACTGTTGCCGAGATCCGTAAGCGTTTGGAAGAGCAGGCTTTTTTCGCCCACCATAGTACCCAGGCCTTACAACGCAGCATCCACCAACTCACCCAAACTGTTGAAACTCTCACCCGCAACAGAAGCCCACCGCCAAACATCTCCACCGTCTCCACCGCCATCAATACCACAGAGCACAACCCTCCACGAGTCCATAGGCTCAAAATTGACCTTCCCAAATCTGACGGGACAGATCCTCATGGATGGATATTCAAGGTGTAGGGGTACTATGATTACCACAATATTCCCGGTGAGCAACGTTTATCCTCAGTCTCGTTCATGGTTGAAGGAGAAGCTTCAGAATGGTTTCACTGGATGAAAACTAATAGGTTGTTGGGGTCCTGGTCCAATTTTCTAGATCAAGTTAAGCTTCGCTTTGATGCTACCCTATCCGAGGATTTTATCGGTCGGTTATCCAAGGCCCGTCAACTCACGACGGTGGCCGCCTATCGTGCCGAGTATGAGAAATTGTTGAATAAGGTCTCTAGTGTGCCCGAAACTGTGCTTATTTCCATGTTTGTCGCTGGATTAAAATCAACTCTACGAAGAGAAGTTTATCGAGCCAAACCACATACGTTGATTGAAGCCTTTTCGCTAGCCAGTGAGTTCGAAGCACAACAGGGGGAACTCCAGGCTGAATTCCACGTCAACACTTCGAAAGGGAACCAAAAATCTCATTACCCTCCTCCTCCAATCACCCCACCGCCAGTGGCTTCTAGTTCCAGTACACCACCCATACAAGCCTTACACCCGCCTAAACACCAATCTTATCCATTACCCATTAAACGGCTCTCACTAGCAGAACGCCAAGCCAAACTAGATAAAGGTGAATGCTTCATGTGTGACCAAAAGTGGTCTAGAAACCATAAGTGTTCAAGTCAGTTTTTATTTCTCATGGGTACAGATGATGAACAAGCTGATGCTCGCATTTTCACCTTTGATCATAGTGATGACCACACCCTTTCAGGGGACATTTCAAGTTTGAATTCAATGGCTGGTCCTGGTACACAACGTTCTTTATGGTTGAAAGGTGAATTAAGCGGCATGGTCCTAAACATACTGATTGACGGCGACAGTACACAAAATTTCATTCGGCCCTCAGTGGCTGAACGCTCGCAATTACGCCTCACTGAAGTACAACCATTTCGAGTATATATCGGTAATGGTGACTCCCTTCGTTTTACCTACTGCTGCAAACAGATTACCCTTACCCTGCAGGGACATCAATTTGTTGTGGATCTGTATGTCTTACCGATACAAGGTCCCGATGTTGTCTTGGGCGTACAATGGTTACAAGAGCTTGGAAAGGTGACACATGACTACTCTAAACTCACTATGGAGTGTTATTGGCACAAGAAACCCATTTTCCTACGGGGTGAACCATCCGCACAACCCAAGCAGATCGGTTACAACCATTTACAAGCTTTTTTTTTTCAAATCAGAAGTCCATAGCTGCTATGAGATTTATCAATTGGAAGCAAACGATCTCACTCTGGAATTGCAATTCCCAGATGTCATTCCGCCAGAAATTTTACACATTTTGCATCAGAAAGTCAAGGTGTTCTGCCACTCATCACAACTACCACCTCGGCGTCTGTTTGATCACCGCATACACGTCCTGCCAGAAACAAAACCAGTAAATGTTCGTCCGTACCGCTATCCTCATTTCCAGAAAGAGGAAATTGAAAAATTGGTTCATGAGATGCTCGAGTAAGGCATTATATGACCAAGTCATAGCTCGTTCTCCTCTCCGGTTCTGCTTGTGCGAAAAAAAGATGGCACCTTTCGCTTTTGTGTTGACTATAGGGCATTGAATGAAATTACAATCAAGGATCATTTTCCGATTCCGACGGCGGATGAACTCTTTGATGAGTTAGGAGGCGCGACAGTCTTTACAAAGCTCGATCTTCGCGCTGGATACCATCAAATACAGATGCATGAAAAGGATATCTATAAGACAGCCTTTCGAACTCATGAAGGCCATTATGAGTTTCTTGTTATGCCGTTTGGTTTATGCAATGCTCCGTCTACTTTCCAGGCTACGATGAACAGGATCATTGCACCCTACCTCCGGAAATTCGTCATTGTCTTCTTTGATGACATCTTAATATACAGTCCAACAATTGAACTCCATATGCAACATTTATTTGTGGTACTGGAGACATTGGAGCACCACATTTTTTATCTAAAATTGAGTAAGTGTGTTTTTTGCAGGACCTCTATAGAATACTTGGGCCATATCATCACTGCGGGAGGGATAAAAGCTGACCCCAATAAATTGGAAGCCATGACCAGTTGGCGTCGACCTTCCTCCGTCAAACAACTGCGAGGACTCTTGGGATTGACCGGATACTACCGTCGGTTTATCCGGAATTATGCGCACATAGCCAATGCCCTCACCAACCTACTAAAGCATGACACATTTCAATGGTCTGACGAAGCAGAGAGCGCATTTCAGACTCTCAAAGACACAATGGTGTCGGCACCTGTTTTGACACTTCCAAAACAACATTTATTGTTGAGACTGATGCCTCCACCACCTGCATTGGGGTGATTCTTATGCAAGACAACCAACCCATTGCATTTTTTAGCAAGAAATTGGGACCTCGGATGCAAGCAGCTTCTGCCTATCACCGGGAGTTACACGCGATCGTGGAGGCAGTTCATAAATGGAGGCAATATTTGCTTGGCCGTCCGTTTGTTATTCGCTCAGATCAACGCAGCTTGAAGGAACTTTTACAACAAATCATCCAGACTCCGGAGCAACAACAATATGTTCGCAAGCTTATTGGTTTCACCTTTACGATAGAATATAAACCCGGGGTACTGAATCGTGCCGTCGATGCTCTTTCCCATAGGGATGACAGTCCAGAGGATGACTCCAACCCGATCCAGCTCCTTCTCACATATTGCCAGCCATTCCCAACTTTACTAGAAGAACTTGATGCAGAAAACACCTCACTTGAGGATTTACAACAGCTGCACAAACAGTTCCTTGAAGGTACTCTCTGGCCACTCAATACACGGTGCGCAATGGAATTCTCATGTATGAAAACCGCTACTACATCAGCCCGCAGTCAAAGTTGAAGCATCAGTTACTACAGGAGTACCATACCTCTCGCATCGCCGGACATGCTGGAGTTAAACGCACCTTAGCTCGACTTGCTGCAACCTTTTATTGGCCACAAATGCGCAAAGACGTTGAGCAGTTTATTTCTTCTTGTCTTGTATGTCAGACCACTAAATACTCTACGCAGCCTCCAGCAGGCCGGGCGCCTACAACCCTTACCAATTCCTTCTATGTTCTGGCAACACGTTACAATGGATTTCATCACCCACCTACCTCCATCACGTGGTCTCACTATTATTATGGTGGTACTTGATCGTCTTACAAAAGTGGCTCATTTTGGTGCCTTACCACACAGACATGGTAGTCAAGCTCCATGGTTTTCCATAATCAATTGTTTCAGACCGTGACCCTATATTTATGAGTCGTTTTTGGTCTGATCTCTTCACACTTAGTGGCACCACCCTCAAACGAAGCACTGCATATCATCCTCAAACTGACGGACAGTCCGAGGTCACCAACCAGGGCTTGGAGCAGTACCTTCACGTTTTACTCACTCACGACCTGCAATGTGGACATCATACTTGACCTGGGCCGAGTATTCAATTAATACCAGCTTCCATGCTAGTATTAAAATGACACCGTTCATGGCACTTTATGGCAGACCTCCACCCGACATTCCCATCTACTCCAGAGATACCACAAAGGTACATACCTTGGATGATATGTTACAAGACCGTGACACATTTCTCCAGCAACTCAAGGTTAATATTCAGGAAGCTCAGCACCGTATGACACAATATGCAAACAATAAACGCCGGAAAGTCAACTTCATTGTAGGTGATTGGGTTCTTCTCAAATTACAGCCCTATATACAACATTCGGTTGGCCGGCCAATGAGTCAGAAGCTTTCCAAACGCTACTACGGGCTTTTTAAGGTCCTGGAGAAAATTGGTGCGGTAGCATACCGACTTGAGTTGCCAGATAAGGCTAAAATACACCCAGTTTTTCATGTGTCCTTAGTAAAACCATTCCGAGGAGATCAGTCACCTACCACCCCCGCGGAGTTGCCAAACGACTTTATTGATGACAGACCAATCTCGACACCAGTAGCAATTCGAGGTACGTGCACGGTTTTACGGAATGGAGTAAAGGAGGATCAGGTGCTAGTTCAATGGAGTGACACTGGTCCAGCAAATGCAACCTGGGAGCCACTCATGTCACTACCAAACCATCAACAAATACCTCACCTTGAGAACAAGGTGGTTGTCGAAGAGGGAGGAGATGATACGACCATATCAAGCCCACCGCACCGGCCACAACGGGAATGCCGGAAAGTAGGATGGATGACTGACCAGTACGTCTATGATTGAGCATAAATTTAGGAGACCAATAAGGAATGGAATCAAGTGAATGCTGGACAGATCATATTCCTTAAATTATATGCATAATCATAGGAATAATTATGTCAAATAAGGGTATAAAAGGAGGTATTGTATTAGAACGAAGCAAGCCTAAGAATAAACAAATTATTCCTTCCTTTCTTGATCCTTGTCCCTTCCTGTCCTGGGAGTTGTGGACACTCGAAGTTCCACGTTCTATCACGCCCTGGCAGAGAAATTGCATATGCCGTCAAGTGGATGCGGTTGGGCAGCACTCCGTCTCCGATGGGGAAGAAGGAGACCGCAGCTCCCAAATCGCGAAGATGCAAATGGTAGAACTGCAGTCTGAAGCGTTGATTCTGAGTCTAATTGGGGGAAGGGCAAAAATGTAACGTGGACTTCTATTTAGGGAATAATAAACTTATACTCCTATTTGGGAATTTTAATTTACTAATGTTTTAGTCTCATTTAGGGCAATTTCTTCTGTCTAAAACATTGGATTATTGAACTACACTTCTTGTCGATCTTGTATAATGAAACATAATAATAACTTTGAACATATAAATCATATTCCCTAAAAGTTATTTCAAATTCATATAGTAACTTTGCATAATAAGTCACTTACATTTTTATTTGTATCTTTGTTTTGGTTATGTGTGTGTGTGTGTCATTATATGATATGGATCTCAATGCAGGTTGGCTTTATTTGTAGGAGAATGTTTCGTTTTGATTGGAACTATTGAGCTATTAACAAAATGTCGAAACCCTAAATTATTCTGCATGGGAGGAGCTGTTTGGATTCTCCAATTTGTCACTGCCATGCTATACACCGTGTTTTTGTCAAGACTCAAGACAATCGAATAACGGCGGTTCCGCTGCCACTTCTTCATTTCAATTAACTTCCTTAGCTTCACGCCGAGTTAGGGAATCCAGTGAGCGAAAGTCCAGATTTGGGTTAACATGCTTAATTATCATTGTTTCCTCTTTAATACTCCTATCCAAACATAATTGTCCTCGAGAGTGGAGACCCTAATACTTAATTGTATGTTTAATGATTTAACATGTCACGCAAAATGTTTGCTGGCTAAAAAGACCAACTTATAGTTCATGTGTGGCTATGTTCGGTATTGAGGTCTAAGAGGATCGTATTACTTAGCTTGTTGGAGTTTAATTGGCTTTGATTTAATATTATTATTATGTTTCATTACAGAAGATTGACAAGAAGTGTAGTTCAACAATCCAATGTTTTAAACATTAGTTTATACCTTTAATTTATACGCGTGTGCCCGGACGTCCGGTGTAACCTTGATCTAGGTGACTAGGAGCTCGTTTAGTAACCTTGATCTAGATGTTTTGGTCGGTGAAGCTAGTGTGCGGTGGACAAGTCGGGGTTGCAATGATTAAGTGACAATGGAAGGTGGAGGTGAAAGTGATGATGGTGGGAGCAAGCCTGGGAGCTGAGGCGGATGAGGTATAGTGCATGTTTGGCATACATAAGTCTTTGTCTTTTAGCTTTTGTATTGTTTAAAAAGTCTTTAAATGCTTCTGGTTGTATGTTTGGCATGAAAAGTTTTAAGAGATTTTCGAAAATTAAAAGATCTTTTTTGAGATTCTACGGGGAGTAGCATCTGAGAAAATTATGTGGCTTTTCGTATTAATTATTAGTCCTAACGCTTGTATACCAAATAGAACTAAATCAAACACTCATCTTTTTACCAAACAACTACCAGCTTATCTTTTAAAGATCTTTTCAGACACTAAAAGCTAACATGTATTTAAAAAAACTTACAAAAGTATATTTTCAGTTAGTTGTGCCAAATATCCATAGAAGGGAGGAATGATGTTTTTACTTGGACTGTAATTCGTCCCAGACCAGACCAAACCAGACCAGACCAGACCAAACCAGACCAGACCAGACTAGTTCAGACCAGACCAGACCAGACTTGGATGGTTGTAAAAATACAAAGAAACCAGTTCAGACCAGACCAGACCAGTTCAGACCAGACCAAACCAGACCAGATCAGACCAGACCAGCAAATTACGGTCCAAGTAAAAACATTCGAAGCTCAAAATCTTTAGGGTTGATTTTTAATATTTATATGTAGGGAATTTTTGTTATTTCAGTTTGTGTACCACCAGTTGTAGGAGATGTAAGGATTAATATATAAAATACTCCGTAATCTTTTGTTTGATTGATAATTTATAAAGTTTTACGAGACTCGTTAATAGTTGTAATATCATATTATTGCATCATCTCACATTACAAAGGCATAAAGCTTATTTTTGCATCGTTTTTTTTTAATTTCACTTGGCAAGTTTTCATAAGATTCGAATTTTCATTTTCTTACAAACTGAAAATACTAGTATTATACGATCAAATTTACAACATGTAAACTATATTGTTTTTTATCTTTCGAAAAAATTATACATCATACATACCATAGTACGTAATAAAACATAATTTTAAATAAGTTGTTATTCTATTCTAGATATACCCTGCCCGGTGCATCGCACATGTATGTAGTCTAGTCAGAATTAGAGAGTAAATTGGGGCAACTTATGTTGTAAAAACCGTGCAGAACAACCCGGAACCTGGTGACCCGGGCTCCAATCCGATGGACTACCAACCTGTTATTCTGTCCGAAACAAGAACTACCTCAGCTTGACCCGGATCATAGCTGAATCAGACCATAATCGGAAAATGGGTAAAACACGGAACTTGAACAGAAAACGCACTACAAAGCCGAAGGTTTCCATCCCTATTGTATGTATGTTGGAAGCATGAGCTTCACTCCAGCAGAACAACACCGCAGGTTTGAACTGAGTGTCTTTTGCCTTATTAATAGGTAATTATTACTTATTATTTGGTAATGAATAATCAAAATTAAGATCATAAAAAATGTCGTTGCTTTTTCGATTGGGCTGCTCTTCAGTTTGGGGCTTTTCCCTGCGACGAGTATTTTTGTGCCAACAAGAAGAGAGACAGCAATAGTGAGATGATGGCATCATCGAGGGAAGGTCATGGGCGAAAACTGAAGTTAAAGACCTGAACATACCTGGATTGAGGTCCTTTGTCAATGCGGGGCCGGTTCACTGTCTGGGACACTCACTACACCTCCGTCATCAAAACGCTGGTCTCCAAGAGCCACGTCTGCCCGTCGGCCACAGGAAGCTCGCAGAACCAGACTTCCATACTTAGCTACTATATTCGAATGTAATCAGTCCAATAGAGGTCACATATTATAATGGGCCTCTCAAGCCCAAAATTTGGTAGTTCAGCTCATATTTTCCCTATAAATGTTCCCTTTGGGAGTAGTTGTAAGAGTTCGAAAATCATTAATATAAATCACTTCTCTCTCTAGCTCTTACTTCTGATCTCTAGACATATAATCTATCAACATTAAAAATAAAGTAAGCATGATTTAGAACTACATAAACTTTACTAAATTTGGTATGTGTTGAAGGCATTGAAGTTACAATTTTGTATGTATTGAGGGCATTGAGGTTAATTTCCTCGGTACACAAGTTCCACAGGAAGATTTTTTTACCTTGTTCATCGCATTGTGGGATACTGGGTTCGTACCGCCAAACAGGAAGATTTTTTTAATCAGAGTAAATTATGTCTTAGTGAAATTGTACCGCCTGTTGTAAATTCCTAAGAATGATAAGTGTGAATTGTTCATCATTGTTATCAGGACACTAATCCAATTTCCATCCTTGTAATAGACAGATGACTAGGTTTAATGTTGCCAGCATATTATGTAGAATGATTCTTTGATGATTCATCACCAAGCTCCACCAGTATAAATTGGGGTTTGGTGATGCCTTGTAAAGACACTCAAAAATTCAGAAAATATTTAGATATTAAAATGAAGTAGTTTAGAGGTTTTTATCTATATATCTATCTCTTAAAGTTGCTCTTCATCTTCTTCATTTCACAACACGTTATCAGCACGAATTAGCTCAAAACTCTTCAAGAAATCATCTCCTTCTGATATGGATCACTCAAATGATAAAGAACTATGTCTGATAGACAGCGCCACAACGCACACCATTTTGAGAAATAAAATATATTTCTCTCAAATGACTTTAGTTGAGGCTAAAGTCAATACCATATCAGGTGTTGCGAAGCGCATTGAAGGCTCCGGGAAAGCATATGTGATGTTCCCTAACGGATCAAAAATTATTATAAATGACGCTTTATACTCCAGCAAATCGCAGAGAAATTTATTTAGCTTTAAAGATATGCGTCAAAATGGTTATCACATAGAAACCATGAATGAAAACCAAAAGGAATATATTTATCTTACAACAACTAAATTTGGCACTAAATATATTTGTGAAAGAATGCCAGCATATTACTCAGGACTATATTTCACATATATTAGTCCATTTGAAATAAATTTGGTTTCTAACACAAAGTTAGATGATCAGAAAATATTCATGTTGTGGCATGACCGTTTAGGTCACCCAGGCCATGTAATGATACATAAAATCATTAATACTTCACTTGGACACCCATTAAAGAATATAAGGGTTCCAATATCAAGGGATTTTCCTTGTAAGGCCTGTTCTCTTGGCAAAATGATCATCAGGCCCTCTATGAATAAAATTGCAACTGAATCACCTGCATTTTTAGAAAGGATTCAAGGAGATATTTGTGGGCCGATAGCCCCACCATGTGGACCATTTCGATATTTTATGGTGTTGATTGATGCTTCAACACGTTGGTCACATGTCAGTCTGTTATCGACTAGAAATCTAGCATTTGCTAAACTCCTTGCTCAAATCATATGATTAAGAGCTCATTTTCCGGATCATTCTATAAAGAGAATCCGACTTGACAATGTAGGAGAATTTACATCTCAATCATTTAACGACTATTGTATGTCGATTGGGATTAATGTGGAGCACCCTGTTGCTCATGTCCAAACACAAAATGGTCTTGCTGAATCTTTGATTAAATGATTACAATTAATCTCTAGACCACTATTAATGAAGTGTAATTTACCTTCATCAGTTTGGGGACATGCTATTTTACATGCAGCAAATTTAGTTCGGCTTAGACCGACTGCATATCATGAATATTCCCCAATGCAATTAGTTACTGGACAAGAGCCAAACTTAGCACACATAAAAATATTTGGTTGTGTTGTTTATGTTCCAATTGCTCCACCTCATCGAACAAAAATGGGTCCTCAAAGAAGGTTGGGAATTTATGTTGGATTTGAATCCCCTCAATAATCAAATATCTTGAACCGATGACTGGTGACTTATTCACCGCACGATTCGTTGACTGTCATTTCAATGAGACAGTATTCCCAATCTTAGGGGGAGAAACTAATAAATCGGACCCAAGTACGAAAGAAATAACATGGAATGCCACAAGATTATCACACCTTGATTTCAGATCAAATATATGTGAGCAAGAGGTGCAAAAGATAATCCATTTACAAAATGTTGCAAATCAGTTGCCTGATGCATTCACAGATACAAAGAAAGTGACAAAGTCACATATTCCTGCTATCAATGCTCCTGCCAGAATCGAAATTCCAACAGAGAATTTTGAAAAATCTCTTGCTAATGATTCTTCTATACGCAAAAAGTGTGGTAGACCACTTGGATCAAAAGATATAAAACCAAGAAAAACTAAAAGGCAGGAATTGGTCTGTGATGCCAAAGATGTTCATTCTTCTGAACAAGAACATGAACAATTTGAAAATACTGGCATAGAAAATGATATTGACAAAACAAACATCTCAAATGATGATCCAATTTCCTTAAACGAGGAAGATATTCCAGATAATGATAGAAACGTTGATAATTACGAAATTTCAATAAATTACGTTTCTACTGGAATACAATGGAATCGAAAAGATATTGATATTAATGAGATATTTGTCTATGCCGTTGCCACAAATGTAATGAATGAAAACAATGACAATGAGCCAACATCAATTGAAGAATGTCGGAAACGACATGATTGGCCAAAATGAAATGAAGCTATTCAGGCTGAATTAAAATCACTTGAAAAATGTGATGTTTTTGGACCGATAGTCCCTACGCCAAAAGGCATAAAACCAGTGGGTTTTAACTGGGTATTTGTGCGTAAAAGCAATGAGAAAAATTAAATCGTAAGATATAAAGCCCGACTTGTTGCCCAAGGTTTTTCTCAAATGCCGGGAATTGATTATGAATAAACTTATTCTCCAGTAGTTGATGCAACTACGTTAAGGTTTCTCATTGGCATGTCTGTTTTTGAAAGGCTGCAAATGCGCCTAATGGATGTAGTGACTGCATATTTATACGGTTCACTCGATACAAACATTTATATGAAAGTTCCCGGTGGATTCAAAATGGATGAAGCTTATAGCTCGAAACCTCGAGAATGTTTTCCATAAAACTACAAAAGTCTTTGTATGGACTAAAACAATCTGGACGAATGTGGTATAATCGTCTCAGTGAATACCTTCTCAAAGAAGGATATAAGAATGATCCAATTAGTCCATGTGTTTCATTCGGCGATCAAATTCGAGATTCATCATAATTGCAGTATATGTTGATGACTTAAACATTATTAGAACTCCCGATGAAATTGAAAATACTGCAAAATATCTTATGAAAGAATTTGAATTGAAAGATCTCGGGAGAACCAAATTTTGTCTCGGACTTCAAATTGAGCATTTGAAGAATGGAATTTTCATCCACCAATCCAATTACACCGAGAAAGTGTTGAAGAGATTCTATATGGACAAAGCTCATCCTTTGACTTCACCAATGGTCATTCGATCTCTCAACATACATGATGATCCATTCCGTCCCCGAGAAGTCAATGAAGAAATACTCAGTCCCGAAGTACCATATCTGAGTGCTATTGGAGTGTTGATGTATTTAGCTAATAATACTAGATCAGATATTGCATTTTCTGTAAATTTATTAGCTAGGTACAGCTCATGTCCAACGAGGCGTCATTGGAACAGGATCAAACACATATTCCGTTATCTACGTGGTACACCTTATCTCGGCCTATTCTACCACAAAGATGCAAAAGCCACTTTAATTGGATATGCAGACGCTGGATATTTATCAGATCCTCAAAAGGCCAAATCACAAACCGGGTACGTATTTACTTATGGTAATACCGCAATCTCATGGAGATCTATGAAGCAGACATTGACAGCTACATCATCAAATCATTCAGAGTTAATTGCATTATATGAAACCGGAAGAGAATGTGTGTGGCTGCGATCTATGATTCAACACATCCAAAATGAATGCGGTATGAAGCCTATTACTTGTCACCCGACTGTGATCTACGAAGAGAACACTGCGTGCATAGCTCAGATTAAAGAAGTCTACATCAAAGGAGATAGAACGAAACACATATCACCAAAGTTCTTCTCTACTCATGATCTGGAGAAAGAAGGGATGATCAACATTCAACAAATCAGATCCAGTGAAAATTTGGCTGATCTCTTCACCAAATCTTTACCCCCGAAGAAGTTCATAGAACTTGTACAGAAAATCGGCATGCGTCGCCTTCAAAATTTAGCTAAGTTCAGGGGGAGTATTTGAATGCACTGCACTCTTTTTTCCTTCATCAGGTTTTTATCCCACTGGGTTTTTCAGATAAGGTTTTTAACGAGACAATACATCCAAATACAACAACATTATAAGTCGTACTTTTTACCCCTTAATTTCACAATAAGATTTTGAAATAACAAATAACTATTCAAGGATGAACATTCAAGGGGGAGTGTTGTAAATTCCTGAGAATGATAAGTGTGAATTGTTCATCCTTGTCATCAGGACACTAATCCAATTTCCATCCTTCTAATAGACAGATGACTAGGTTTAATGTTGCCAGCATATTATGTAGAATGATTCTTTGATGATTCATCACCAAGCTTCACCAGTATAAATAGGGGTTTGGTGATGCCTTGTAAAGACACTCGGAAATTCAGAAAATATTTAGATATTAAGAAGAAGTAATTTAGAGGTTTTTATCTATATATCTATCTCTTAAAGTTGCTCTTCATCTTCTTCATTTCACAACACCGCCGTATTTTTATGGGATTTATTATTATGGCGTAAAGTCGTAAACCACAGGATAAGGTTTTGGAAGATTCCAGTGTATAATACGGAGTAGATTTTTTATAGAAAATCTGTCTCAGGCTCTTAGCTTCTTAGTTCCTACGATGAATGAATAAGGTGTTACTCCCTTCGTTTCATTTTACTTAGCCAAATATGAATTTTCAAGTCAATGAAATCTAACTTTGACCGATTATATGTGTATATAGATAAAATATTAATAATATGAAAATGATATGAAAATTTTCTTTGTTAAAAATATTATC